ATTCTGAGGCTTTTTTCCCTGAAATTGAAGATCTCAGGCGGCTCTATGGTCACCCGCCAGCCCTGAGAGGCCACTGTGCTTTGCATGCCCTGTGCCTGTGTCCTGCCTGGTGGTGGCTGCAATGCTGCCCTGAGTGCCTGCCCCCCCCACCCCCCTTTGCAGGTCTCCATCCACTCGGTGTGGCTGGGCAACGGGATCACGCCCCTGCGGGAAGAGGAGTGGGACGGGGACGAGGACGAGGAGACTGATGAGCCCACACCCTCCTCACCGCCCACGTCGCCCGTCAACTCCAGGTCCTGCACTGCTCCTTCCCCTCGTCCCCTCATGTGGCACGTTGGACGGCCGAGGGCAGCTTTGGGAACGTGCCTGGTGTCTGTGCTCTCTGCAGGAAGCACCGGGCCGGGGTGGACATCCACTCCTGCTCGCAGTTCCTGCTGGAGCTGTACAGCCGTTGGATCCTGCCCTCCAGCTCAGCCCGCAGGACGCCTGTCATCCTCATCAGTGAAGTGGTCAGATCGGTGAGTTAACCTGTTGGACCTTTGCACGCATGTGCACACGTAGGTACCAGTAGCGTGGGTGGACGAGTCAGGGCCAGCTCATCAACTCCCAGTGACCTCACAGGACAGTGGAGTACTGGGTGCACTGCAGAAAGAGACCTCCACACTGTGCCCTGCAGGGCTGCTGGTGGGTTCAGATAGCAGTCAGGCACCTTAGCACCCCACCACCAGGAGGATGCCCTGCTGGTCATCCTCTTCTGGCACTCTGACCCTACAGGCGGAGGAGGCCTCAGGGACCCTATAGGACAGAGTGGGACTGCCCTGCAGGCTTTGGAGACTGTGGTTCTACGGGGTTAGCCTCCCAACTCCTAACCCCTGAGCCCTGAGGGCTCCTTTTGGGAGACGGGGGCCACCTGTGGGTTCTAACTGCCCACCTTCAGGTAGCAGGCAGTGCTTAACCTCTGTGCCACCAGGCTCCTGTGGGTGGGGTGTAATCTCTCCAAGATTTACTGCAAGCACGTGTTCTCAGCCAGGGGAGCCCTGGAGTGGAGTTTCATACTGTCTTTTTGTGGCCCTTTGGTGCCCCGTGGAAGGGCCACGCAGAGGCCATCTAAGGGACTAGGGCCTTCCCTGTCCTCCCACGTCTCCTCCAGACCCGAGGTGAGCAGTCGCAGGCCAGTCAGCACGCTGTCTGCTCTTCAGACCCCTTTCTGTCTAGACTCAGCAGGGGTATGAGAAGCCCAAGGTGGTCAGACCAGGCTCCAGAGGGTGGCCAGTGGCTCATGTTTCCGGAAGTAGCCTGCCAGACCCTTCTGCCAAGTCCACCGCCCATTGCACAGCCGGCACACCCTGGCCCCCGACTGTGCCAGGTGCACCCTCAGCCCATGACACCCCTCTGCCTACAGCTGCTCGTGGTCTCGGACCTCTTCACGGAGCGCAGCCAGTTTGAGATGATGTTCTCCACGCTGATGGGCCTGCACAGGGCGCACCCCTCTGAAGACGAGATCCTCCTGCAGTACCTGGTGCCCGCCGCCTGCAAGGCGGCTGCCGTCCTCGGCATGGTAAGCTAGCAGGCACCGAGCCGCACCGCCCCTGCCCCCTCCAGTGACAGCTGAGGGCCCCGGCGCCGCCCCAGCCACAGGGCCATGTCCATCTTGAGCCTCCAGCCCTGTGAGATGAGAGGGCCGGGCAGGCAAAGTCCTGAGTGCTGTCTGCGTGCAGCCTCTGCTGGAGCAGTCTGCTGTGGGCTTCCTGGACCACCGCCGCCTGTCCCCGGAGTCAGTGTCCTCTCCCACCCAGGCCCCCTGTTGCCTCCTCTGCTCCCCCTTCTCTGGTGTTCCCATCCCCGAGGGGCCCTCTGTGCATACTGCTTGCCCTTGTCTCCTGGGGAAGACACGCCTCCACTGAGCTTGTGCCTTTCAGCCCCCCCGCTCCCCCCCCCACCCCCAGCTCTGTCTTCCCAGTAGGACAGTAGCTGTAGCAGCCAGTGGTGGTGACACTCCCACGCAGTGAGTGAGGTAGGGGGCAGGGCACCGTCTGGGACCCCAGACTGTGTGGTGTTTGTCCTTTCTGAGCCACAGGCCCAGGCAGGTACTGTTCTGGAGCCGGGCTGGGTCCCTCTTGAAGGGAGAAACAATGGAGAGGCTGGCTCCCCTCCCGGCCCTTCCTCTCATCTCTGTGGGGAGTCTGCTGCAGGATGGGCGGGCTCTCCTTCTGTGTGCTCAGGCCAGGGCCCCATGGCAGATGCTGTGTCTTCAGGACACATTAGGGGTCCTAACAAGAGAGCCTGCAGGCGGCCCCCCGACCCTCAGTGCTCTCCCATGGAGACCTGGTGACCCACAGACCGCAGAGCCTGCGCACTTACAGTGATGGGTGGACACAGGGCTGTGGCAGCTCTCGTTGGTCTTGCCCGGCCTGGTGGGGGTGAGGTGGGGACAGGACATCAGGATGAAGGAGGACAAAGAGAGGAGGGACAGGCCACCCCTAGCCTGAGACAGTGGGAGTACAGTACCCCACACAGGGTCTAAGTGAGGCAGCGTGCCAGGACGAGAGGAGGTCACCCCCAGCTTGAGACAGAGGGGTGCAGTGCTTACACAGGCTCTGGTGGCTGCTGGCTGAGGGGGTGGTCTGCAGCCTCAGGCACGGCCTGAGCAGGCTGGTCTCGGTGAAAACACCGAGCATCAGTCTGTACTCGTCACACGGGGCCTCTCCCTTCAGGGACCCCAAGTGCAGTGGCTCTCAGGAACAGGTCTGAGGGTCCCTGGGGAAGGTCCCCAGAGCGGCCTGACAGGACTCAGCCTGAGGCCGTCCTCAGGGCTGAGCTGTGCCGGGGTGGGAGACCTGAGCAGGGTGACACAGGGCAGGGCACGTGGGCAACATCTCGGGACGCTGACATGCTGGGGCCGCTCCCAGGAACATAGCAGGTCCTTCAGCGTGCGTCACGCTGTGTGCACACTGGGGTCCCTCCTAAGAGTCTCACAGGACAGACACCCTTTCTGAGCATGCAGCTGAGCCTGGGGGCGGGCGAACTGTTTTCTGTCTCACTCCCCTCCCATTTCAAGCATGGGGTCAGCATTGGCAGAGGACGCTGTCCGGTGTGGGGTCGCAGTGGGAAGAGGGTGCTGTCTGGTGTGGGGTTGCAGTGGGCATAGGGCGTTGTCCAGCGTGGGGTTGCAGTGGGCAGAGGGCGCTGTCCTGCATGGGGGTTGCCATGGGCAGAGGGAGCTGTCCAGCGTGGGGCCGCCGTGGACAAGAGGGCACGTGATTAGAGTAAGGGTTGCCGTGGGCAGAGGGCGCTGTCCGGCGTGGGGTGCTTGGAGGGCCTCGCTGTGTACCACTGCAGGACAAGGCCGTGGCAGAGCCTGTCAGCCGCCTGCTGGAGAGCGCCCTGCGTAGCAGCCACCTGCCGGGCCGCATCGGGGCGCTGCACGGAGTGCTCTACGTGCTCGAGTGTGACCTGTTGGACGACACCGCCAAGCAGCTCATCCCCACTGTCTGCGACCACCTGCTCTCCAACCTCAAGGGGCTCGCCCAGTGAGTGTGGCCGCGGGCGCCACGTCCCCTCACATGCTCTTGTCACTCACGGGGCCTGCTCTGCCTCAAGCTCTCCCCAGTCACAGGCGCCCTGGATCCCCCACCCTGCGAGCTCCCACAGCTCCCTGATGCTCCCGGGCTCATACAGACGCTTCCAGTCACACACAGCTGGGCCAAACCCCTGGAAAGAGAAGCCTCATTCCCTCCGGCTGGTCCCCTAGGACAGGACGTCCAGTCTGCCAGTCTCAGAAGATGCACTGAGCCTGAGACACCAAGTTCCTGCCTAGCAGAGCTGCCCAAGAAACCACCCTGGGGGGCGGGGACCAGAGTCTCCTCCCCACGCAGGTGGGAGGACACAGTGGTGAGACCTGAGTGCAGGCGGTAGGGAGGCCAGTGGAGAGTTTGGGGCAAGGCACGCAGTCACAGTGGCACCTGTGTGGATCTTCAGGACAGGCTGGTGCCTGGGCCCATCTGGCTTCTGGACTTGAGTGGTTCTCCAGGGCAGGCCAGTCTGCATGCTGTGACAGGAGGAAGCAGAAGGAGGGACGGGTTCCCAAACCCCCGAGGCTGCCAGTGTCACCACCCACAGGGCACAGATGTCATGTGACCATGCATGCCCCTTGGGCAGGGAACAGCCATGGGGGTGGGGGTAAGAGTCGCACTTCCCAGAGTTCCCTGGCTGCACTCGGCTGATAGGTGTTTGTCCCCACCCAGCTGCGTGAGCGTCCACAGCCAGCAGCACGTCCTGGTGATGTGCGCCACCGCCTTCTACCTGATGGAGAACTACCCGCTGGACGTGGGGCCCGAGTTCTCTGCCTCCATCATCCAGGTGAGCCCGCTCACTGCCCGGCGGCCCGAGTGGCAGAGCTGTGGGGAGGTGCTGGGACGCGGCTGACGGCTCGTCTGCGCAGATGTGCGGCGTGATGCTGTCGGGCAGCGAGGAGGCCACCCCGTCAGCCGTGTTCCACTGCGTCCTGCGCGGCCTGGAGCGGCTCCTCCTCTCGGAGCAGCTCTCGCGGCTGGACGCCGAGTCCCTAGTCAAGCTGAGCGTGGACCGCGCCAACATGCACAGCCCGCACCGCGCTCTGGCCGCCCTGGGTCTGATGCTCACCTGCATGTACACAGGTGGGTGGATGGGTGGGCTGCCCAAGCCTGGCGCATGCCTGCGTGTGCACAGGTGCTCAGAGGGGCAGGCCACACCTGAGTCCATCCATTGCCCCACTTACAGGCATAGAGCCCCCAGTACTTCATGGCCGTGGGGTTGGGGGGGTGGCGGTTCTAGCTGCTCATGGGGGCCATGACCCTGTGTGCCATGGCGGTCACCCCGCACTGGCTCTGTTGCAGGGAAGGAGAAAGCCAGCCCGGGGAGGTCGGCAGACCCCAGCCCTGCGGCCCCAGACAGCGAGTCGGTGATTGTGGCTATGGAGCGAGTGTCTGTCCTGTTTGACAGGTGAGAGCTGCACCTGTGCCTGGTGCACCTGCCCACCTCGTCTCAGGGCTCCCCTGCTGGCATCCTGGACACATGCTCCCTGTGTCCTGGGACCAGAGTTAGGGTGTCAGGAGAGGACATGTCTGTGAGGGCCTCGAGGGGCTGGCCGGCTTGAGCCCCAGCCAGGAATAGCCCATCTCGGCCCAGAGCAGCCCTCCTCGGTTCCTGGAGCCTGTGTGGGTCATTTGGCTCCCACCGCCACAGGAGGGTCGTAGTGGGGCCCGGGCTGTGTGAGAAAGGCAACAAGGTCCCCAACCGTCTGAAGCTGCCCAGCACATGCCCGGAGCCTGCGCAGCCCCTCTGCATCACAGGGCTTACCGCCCAGTGGGAGCCAGGAGCAGCGGGGCCGGGTCCATGGCCGGTCCCTGCAGCAGCAGCAGCAGCGTGGGCTCACAGCAGGGGTCTGCACTGGAGGGAACTTATGGCTGCCAGGAAGCAACGTTTGATGGAAGGCCACACTATGCCCTGTTCGTGAGGCCCCAGCCCACTGCAGGCTGTCAGGCCGCCGGTCTGCACTCGGCCGGGGGTGGGGGTGGGGGCTCCTCCAGGGGCTTCCATAGCCCTGAGGTTGTGTGAGGGACACTGACCCAGCAGGAAGCTACGGGCTCTCAGACCTGCCCTCTTGGAGGGAAGCTCATGTGCCAGCAGGACAGGGCAGGTTTTGCTGTGTGTTGACTTCATCTGCAGTGCTCCCAGTCTGAGCTTGTCCTGCCTTTGATTGACTTCATGTGACTGGCAGCCTCTTGTTGGCCCCTCTTTGCCACAGTAGTGACCGGCTGAGGTGACCGGAGCTGGTGTGGGGCCCCCTTGCAGTAGCTGAGGGTCAGAGGCCCCTACCCCCATGTGCCAGGAGCGGGGTGAGGTCCTCACTGCTTCTTCCTCCCCTCAGAATCCGGAAGGGCTTTCCCTGCGAAGCCCGAGTGGTGGCCCGGATTCTCCCGCAGTTTCTGGACGACTTCTTCCCCCCCCAGGACGTTATGAATAAGGTCATTGGGGAGTTCCTGTCCAGCCAGCAGCCCTACCCCCAGTTCATGGCCACCGTCGTGTATAAGGTGACCACTGCCGTTGTACACTGGGGGAGGGGGGGAACAGACACACCAGGCCGCGTCATAGTTACCCTTCCATCGAGCTGCCCACAGCACCGCCTCCCTCCCTCTGTAGGCTGGCTGCCCATACATGTCCCACATCCCCACCTACTTTCATCTCTTAGCTCCTCATCCCCCTCCCCTGTTGCCCACCACAACCAGGGGCCCCTGCGGTCCCGAGTCCCCCACCTCCTGTGCCCCTGAGGTCCCTGTGCTCCCACAGCCCCGAGTCTCCCACCTCCTGTGCCCCTGAGGTCCCTGTGCTCCCACAGCCCCGAGTCTCCCACCTCCTGTGCCCCTGAGGTCCCTGTGCTACAGCCCCGAGTCTCCCACCTCCTGTGCCCTGCGGCCCCGAGTCTCCCACCTCCTGTGCCCTGCGGCCCCAGCCCCTGCAGCCCTGGCCTCCCTCCCTCCCAGGTGTTCCAGACGCTGCACAGCACGGGGCAGTCGTCCATGGTGCGGGACTGGGTGATGCTCTCGCTGTCCAACTTCACGCAGCGCACGCCTGTGGCCATGGCCGTGTGGAGCCTCTCCTGCTTCTTCGTCAGCGCCTCCACCAGCCCCTGGGTGTCGGCAGTGTATCCTTTGCGGGGCCTGGGCCCGAGAGTCACATGTTCCAGACCTGCTGTCTGTCCAAACCAAGGCGAGGAGCCCCAGGTGTCCCTGACGCCCACGCGGTGCGCACACGAGGCCATTGGCCTCAGAGAACACCTCAGCAGAGCGCCCACACTGACAAGGAGGCGGAGCTGTCACTCACCACCCGGGAACGCCCCAAGGAGCTGGGAGCTGGGGGCCGGTGTGAGCCGGGGTCTGAGCCTGTGCCCTCCACAGGGCTGGGCTGGTTCCCTGGGGGTCAGGGCTCCGGGCGGCGAGTCCCCTGGACAACGTCCAGCCCTGTCCAGCCCCAGCAGGGGGTCTTGTTACTCTGTCATCGAGCTGTGCCGTCCTCTTAGTCACAAGCTTAAATAGAATGAGTCCCCACCCTGACAGTGCTGTCTGTGCCAGCAGGCCCCCTTGGCAGCCTTCCCCAGACAGACCACAGAGCCTTAAAGCAGGCAGCTGCCCTGGTGGTGGCAGGGCCTCGCCTAGTGCGTGGGGCCCGGGCGGCAGCGGGCACAGACTCACTGGCTGGAGCAGTTGTGGGAGCAGCAGCCACTGCCCTCGCTACAGGGAGCCAGGCCGGTAAGTACGGGCAGCGTGGTCCTAGCACCTAGCCCCACCATGGGCGGAGCTAAGCCCGGCCCCGAGGTGGTGGCAGCTACAGGGCTGGTATCAGGCAGTGGCCATCCTGCTGTTGTTGGCACTGAGGAACTGGCGATGGGTGCGCGGGTGGGTCAGGCCACACAGCCGCCTGCTCCTTAACACAACCCTCCAGGCTCCCACACGTGGTCAGCAGGATGGGCAGGCTGGAGCCCGTGGACGTGGGCCTCTTCTGCCTGGTCGCCACAGACTTTTACCGACACCAGATAGAGGAGGAGCTAGACCGCAGGGCCTTCCAGTCGGTGTTTGAGGTGGTGGCCGCCCCCGGGAGCCCGTACTACCGGCTGCTGACCTGTCTGCACAGTGTCCCCCAGGGCACCACAGGATGAGCTGGCCGGAGGGGACTGCAAAGCGGTCGTCCGGGGCGGACTCTGGACACCGTGCATGTGTGCGGCAGGCAGAAGCCCCCTTGGCAGCAAGGGGCCGAGCAGGGAATGTATATGCAGGCCCCCGGGGCCTCCACCAACCCATTCAGACCGGCACTCAGCTCTGCCCTCGCCGTGGCCACAGCCGCTCGCCCATCTGCCGCCCCAGTGGGAGTCGGTGTCGTTGCACTTGGTGGGCGTTGCCCGTGCGAGATGCAGGCGGCCTGTCTGGGACTCATGCAACCCGGCAGGCACGGGGGGCAGGTGGCGGGCACCCAGCACCATCCCTCCTCCTCTCTCTTCTCAGGATCTGAAATTTAATTCTATCAGTAAAGAGATGACTTTTAACCTAACCGCTTCTCTGTCCACGTCAGCTGTGTGCCTCAGGGACTGTGAGGCAGCGCTGTGCTGGGGCTTCACCTCTGCCAGGTGCCTGTGCAGCCTGCCGGAAGGGCTTCTCAAGTGCGTCCTGCCCGAGCCAGCCCTCCTGTGCGTCAGGGCCCTGCTGGCACCCCCAGGGGGTCAGGGCGCAGGACATGGGGCCCCCATTGGGTAGACCCAGCTTCATGACACTCCCCTCTGCCATCAGCCCGTGGCACAGGCGGGGGGGTGGGGGGTAGTGGTGATGTGGCAGCCGCAGGTCCATCTACACCTCAATGAGGTGGACCTTGGTTCACTGGGTCCTGCCGCCCAGAGCCATGGACCCCTGCGTGGTGCACAGGGTCAGCCTGCAGCCACCTTCCAGGTGCGAGAGCGGACCGGAGTTAGTCTACCTCAGGACGTGGCTCTCCATGCAAAGGCTGTGGGGCTCAGGCTGGCCAAGCGCGGCCACTTCCTCCAGCCCCATGCTGCTGGTCAGAGCAGGTGTACCTGGGGCATGCAGGTGGGCCAAGGGATCCCAGAGCCCCGGCTCCCAGACCACAGCTGTGTGGTGCGGGCAGCACAGGCCAGAGAAGGGCCTTAGGGTCTGGGTCCTAACTGAGAGGTTAGTCACCCTCCCAGTCTCAGCCTGCCTTCTCCCAGCCAGCCGTAGCTGTCGCCTATGGTGAGGCCTGGGGACTTGTCCCCACGGCACCCAGTGGGGGCACTAGCCAGATGCCCCCTTAGCTGCAGTGCCATGGTATGAGTGAGGTGGGCTGCCCCAACCTTGTCTGTGACGAGAGCTAAAATCCCCGGTTGTCACAGGCTCTCAGTGCTGACCCAGAGCCCACCTGCTGCTGCAGCTGAGAGTGGGAGGTAGATCGTGCCCGGGCTTCACCTGTGCAGTGTGCGCACACGTGCGTCTACGCCAGGGCCCAGGTGCGCAAGCTCCACAGGAAGCCCTGGCTGCTCTCCAG